AAAAATACTAATAGGCCTTGTATTGTCTGATCATAGAAAATTAGTATTAGATAGATCGTTGCAAAACAGCCTTTGGTCTATGATTATGTATGTATCGTTTGATATACCTGTGCTCGGAGAATAGAACAAACAAAATCAAAAACATATAACAAATCTGTGTTGTCCAACGCCATTGCCAACAACTGGCCTAGGGTTGGCGTGCTTCTATAAGAGGGGCTTCAGATAGTACTTACATTCCCAGTCTAGGTAGAAAAAACTCCTAACAACCTGTGGTAAACCTAAGCCTCACACTCAACTGTATTTGGATGAAAGCAGCCAAGACCTAACTAGTTTGAGATGATAAAAGAGCTGAGGTTATATTTTTTAGTTAATATTTTATTCAGCAGGTTACATTGGGGTAAAATGTGTTTATTTATAGAGGAGATAGCATACTTGCATGCCCCTTTTAACCTCCCCGAGTCAGAGCTTCAAAGAGTGACCATCCCCCAACAGTCTTGCACATCCAATCATTATCTGATGTTTGTAATACCCATGTCCCCCGTCACCCCATCTCGACCCTCCTCCCTCTCCCACCTGCCCTGACACCCTGATAAATTCGTTACTTCCTATATGCCCCTTAGGGTCAGAACGCCTGAATCAGACCAATTTGCTGGTGAGTAATGGGCCTTGTTTTTCCATTCTTGAGATACTTCACTTATAGAATGGTTTCAGCTTATCCGAAAATACAAGAGGGCAGAATCTCACAGCGGAGAGAGTTCTGTAAAGCTGAAAGAGTAATAGCGCGATGGTATACATGAAGAAGCCACCGAGTATTGAATCCATCGAGCAGTGATTGAGGAACACGGTTTAGTGGTCGGTTTCTCACAAACTTCTACAATTGGATTCTTGCTTGCTCATAAACATTTGACGAGTGGCAGGGCCATTCAGTGTAGAGTGCATTTGAATCTTCTTGGTAGGATGCCAGTAGTGGAATTGCTGGACAAATGGTAGATCTAGAGAAGTGGCTGAGTGTCTGGAGAGAAGCTTTTATTAACCAAAAAGGCAGCATCTAGATATTCTTACCCGTCAGTCTTAGTTCTGCCTTTCTCCAAAGTCTTATGCAAGTTCTCCCATCTCTTTCAAATGATAGTGCTTGCGAAGCGGTCACAGCAGTGCGCACAAGGATTTTTCTTTTATAAGACTAAATAGGGTAGCGTACGTGAGTAGAACACCATAGTAGTTCTCATCAACACATTGCCTTTCTTTTTTGAGACAGAGTCCTCTTCTGTTGCCCTGGCGCTAGAGTGCAGTGGCATAATCAGCAGCTCACTGGCAACTCACAACTAAGCTCGGGACTCAATGGCGAATTCTCCTGCCCAGTCTCTGATAGGTCCTGGACGATATGAGCAATGTGCTATCACTTTTGGCGTAGCTATTTTTCTAATTTGTCTGCGCAGAGATGGAATCTCAAGCTTGCTTGGGCTGGTCTCGAACTTTGACCTCAGTGCTCTCCCTAGCCTCACAAAGTGCTCAGATTATAGGAGTGAGCCACTGCACCTGGTCCTACATTGCTTAAAAACCTCAGATATCATTTCCTTAAAAAATGGTTATTTAAACTGTCATGTGATATCATATATCTGCATTCCTAGTAACTAAATCTTATGGTAGGGATGGTAAACATAATGCGTCTCTAATGTGCTATGAAACCTAATACAGTTTTATTTTATTAATTTTTACTGCAGACAGAGTCTCACCCTGTGCCCGGCTAGAGTGGCTGTGAATTAGCCTAGCTCACAGCAATCAACTCCTGGGCTCAAGCATGGTGCCTCAAGCCAATCAACCGCCGAGTAGTCAGGGACTACAGGCATGTGCCTACCATGCCGGCTTAATTTTTTGTAATAAATATACCTTATTGGCCATTAATTTTTCTATTTATATAGAGACATGCGGTCTTCACGCTTGCACTCAGGGCTAGAGATGCTAGAACTCACTGACCTCGGAGCGAGAGTCTGCCCACAACAGGCCCTGGTACCATCCAGGTGCTAAGGATACAAGCGTGAGCACCTGGTACCGGGCAATCGGCCACATAGGTTTTAAAATCAGTAAGTAGCGGGGACATGCGCGGTGGCCACGCCTGTGAATACCATGCCTCTGGGCAGGCCAGGCGGCGGATTGCTCGAGGTCGAGATTCGACCAAGACTGAGCAAGAGTGAAACCCCGTCTCTACTATACAAGTAGAGGACAAGAATATGAGATTGGCCAGAACTGCAATAATAAGAATAAATGGTAATAAATAAAAGTCAGCCGGCGGCATGGTGGGCGCAATGCCTGTAGCCAGCCCTACCCGGAGGCGAGGCAAAGGATCACTAGGCCAAGCCCATGGTAGTTTGAGTTGCTGTGAGCCATGTAGGCTGACGCCATGGCAACACATTCTACTGGGCCAACAAAAAGCGAGACTCTGTCTAAAAAAAAAAAAAAAATTAAGACTAAAATAGGAACTCTGAAAAATATTGAAATCTTAAATGGCAAAATAAAAGTAAATAAGCAGATACATCAAAAATTAGCCGGGCATGTGGCGAATGGGGGCACACCTGTACTCCCAGCTACTCAAGAGGCTGAGGTGGGAGGCTGACGCCACAGCACTCACTCTAGCCTGGGCAACAAAGTGAGACTCTGTCTCAAAAAAAAAAAAAAATCAGTAAATGTAAAATACATCTCATCATTTTATTTCCAAAATTTTCCAGTTAAAAACATTTTTCAATAATTCTATCAATAACCTTTGAGATAGATACTAACATTATCCCCATTTTATAGAAGAGGAAACAATACAGATGTTAAATAAGTAGCTATTAAGGGAAGCAGAATTCAACCCAGTTACAGAGATATTTAAGGAATATGTACTTCCAGGACTGAATTTCAGCAATATATATATATATTTTTTTATTTTTTACTTTTTTTTGAGACAGAATCTTACTTTGTTGCCCTGGGTAGACTGCGTGGCGTCAGCCTAGCTCACAGCAACCTCAAACTCCTGGGCTGAAGCAATCTTGCTGCCTCAGCCTCCGAGTAGCTGGGACTACAGGCATGCACCACTATGCCTGGCTAATTTTTTTTCTATATATTAATTGGCCAATTAATTTCTTTCTATTTTTAGTAGAGACGGGATCTCACTTTTGCTCAGGCTGGTCTCAAACTCCTGACCTTGAGGGATCTGCCTGCCTCAGCCTCCCAGAGTGCTAGGATTACAGGCGTGAGCCACCACCACGTCTGGCCTCAGCATTATTTTTATTTTTATTTATTTTTATTTTTTTTATTTTTTTTGAGACAGAGTCTCACTTTGTTGCCCAGGCTAGAGTGAGTGCTGTGGCGTCAGCCTAGCTCACAGCAACCTCAAACTCCTGGGCTCAAGCAATCCTACTGCCTCAGCCTCCCAAGTAGCTAGGACTACAGGCATGTGCCACCATGCCCGGCTAATTTTTCCTATATATATTAGTTGACCAATTAATTTCTTTCTATTTATAGTAGAGACAGGGTCTCACTCTTGCTCAGGCTGGTTTCGAACTCCTGACCTTGAGCCATCCGCCCGTCTCAGCCTCCCAGAGAGCTAGGATTACAGGCGTGAGCCACCACGCCCGGCCATCAGCATTATTTTTAAATAGCCAAGTTGAACTAGAAACTTTTAAAAAATGTGTTAACGTACTTACATTTAGACATTAGTATTTAAGGGGTAAGAAGAAGGTTCTTTGGAAAGTCATTTACCTTAATTTCTCCATATCGAAAGGGATTTTGTACATCTCGGGCCAAAACAGTACTGTTCCCCCTGACCTGACCTGCAGTCACCACTCCTTTGGTGGTTACCATGACCACTGTTTCATTAGAAGAGGTCCAGGTGAAGTTGCCACTACCACCCTCTACCTGTGAAAAAACAATATTATATTTAATTGCTACAGGAGGAAAAATTGAATATAAACTTGGCTGGTGAAATAACGTTTAGGAAATAATGAAACCATATAATAAATTTTTTCTGGACACATTAAGAAACTGTGATGCTAGGCCGGGCGCGGTGGCTCACGCCTGTAATCCTAGCACTTTGGGAGGCCGAGGCGGGCGGATTGCTCAAGGTCAGGAGTTCGAAACCAGCCTGAGTGAGACCCCGTCTCTACCAAAAATAGAAAGAAATTAATTGACCAACTAAAAATATATATACAAAAAAAAATTAGCCGGGCATGGTGGCACATGCCTGTAGTCCCAGCTACTCAGGAGGCTGAGGCAGTAGGATCGCTGAGCCCAGGAGATTGAGGTTGCTGTGAGCCAGGCTGACTCCACGGCACTCACTCTAGCCTGGGCAACAAAGTGAGACTCTGTCTCAAAAAAAAAAAAAAAAAAAAGAAACTGTGATGCTATAGCAAAGTAGCTTACTAGGCAAGATAAATACTAAAGGGAGGTTAATTAATGTAATTAATGGTAGTATCACAAAATGTCAAAAAAGGGTATAAAGGAACTTTACAAAACTTTTTAAAACTCACAAGGAAAAGATATATGGAAGAGAGACCAAATGCACACCAAGTTTTACTATAGATGACAGTATTCAAGAACATAATTTGGCTGTTGCCAAAAACTGAGTTATACTATTAGGATTGGGTGAAATAAAATTTAACATTAATACAATTTCAGTAATTAAAGTATCAGATAAATTAATTAGCTCTTTGTGAAGTCTTATAGGACAACATACCTGTACTTTTATAACGATATAACATTCCATAGATGATGAGGAAATGCCAGAAAGTTGGGTGTAAGCTTGATGGGAAAATAAATCTTCACTTCTTGCTGGATTTTATAGCTGAATATTGTTTATCTAGAGAGGCAGGAAAAAAGGAACCAAAATATATGTATAAGATTTTTTTGAGACAGGTCTCACTCTGTGCCTGAGTAGAGTGCTGTGGTGTCAGCCTAACTCACAGCACCTCAATCTGGCGCAAAGCTCAAATAATCCTCTGCCTCAGCTTCTTTGATAGCTGGACTATAGCGCACACCATG